TATCAACCACTGCAGACTTCTGATCTTAACTGGTCTGATCTGTGCATATTTTTTCCATGGGATCTGTTGAATTTTGTCGGCTTCCTGTCCCACCAGCTTTCGCCATCTGTTCAAGATAATGGCACCAGGCTCTTTTTTAACCAAGCCCTTTTTTCAAACCACCAGTTTCACCTTATGAGGAAAAGGAGAGGCACAGTGTAGCGCTCCATAGCTGTGGTATCATTCTTTTTTTTTTTAAAATCAACACAGTTTAATCCTTGCTTGAAAGGAATGGGGCAGGCCACCCCACATAAGGCCGGGCTGGATGCATTACCCAGTGTTATGCTTTTGACGGGACCCGCTGAGGACCCGAGAACAGGGATCCCTTCCTTGAAACTACCGCACCGTTTTTCCTATGCTTAAGCCCTGAACCCTAAACCCTATCTTCTGCCTACTTACTGTCTGCTTTCTGTCCTACTCTTCAATTTCTCCATCTCCGCTTGCTTTAAATAATGCTAGTTTTTGTTGCTTTATCCCTACCTGCCCCCTTTCCTAATTCTCACCTACCCATTCCGGTCTCCATTTAAATAAGAATTTTGCTCCCTGAATACCAGCTACCTTCTCCTGGCCCAACACCTTTTGGGTGGAAGTGCTTCTTGCATTCCTGCGCCTGTTCTGGTTGTTGCTGGATTTGACTCTGTACCCTCTTCCATTGAGCTCGGAGGTCTGTTTCAATTGAGGATTATCTCCTTTGCGTCCTGCCTGTGCATTGGCCGCTTATCTATGGTAATTTGACAGCGCCTCTTCCAAATGGTCCAGAGGCCGTACTATCTTATCAGCTGAAATGTATGTTTCTCAAATGGTTGCCATTGACTTTGGAGGTCGTGTCCTAGCAGAAGGATAGCCTTGGACTCCGGAAAGGGTGTCGATGAAATTTGCTTCCGAAGGGTCTTGGCTTCCTCCCATATGTTGTTTGCTTCTGCGCATTCCAAGAGGCAGTGTGGCCTTGTCTCTGGGATCCCTTCTTGGCAGACTGTGCACAATGTGTTGGCGGGGTCTCACTGGGCTTGGCTTCTTCTCTCATTTAGCCATGCATTCACTGGGAGCGCCATGTGGGCTATTAGCCACGGCATGCGCCCAACCCTACCCATCTGTATCGTGTTGATCAGTGTCCATGGTATTTTAGAAAGCTGCTCCGGTGCCACCCCCACCTTGTTCTCCCAGCGCTTAGACAACACTGCCTTCAGGGGATAGGAACGCCTTCTCAATCTATATCCTATTCGAGTGGTATAGTGCAAGATGTTAATTCTTCTGGCCACTCCCAATCTTCCCCCTCCGATGTTCCACGCCCATTCTCTGGGCTCCACTTCCAAGTCCTCCACTGGTGTAATTGGGGTGAAGATTGTGAATTCGTCTGTTTCCACCACTCTCACTTTGTGCAGCTGTTGCCATTGGATACTGATCGGTGTGTTGGACTCCTGGTCCAGTCAACTGGTGTTGCTTCCCGGGTTCATGATGACATACATGTCTGCATTCAGCCATTCTTTCCTTCCAAGTTCCTGGGACCAGGCTCTAAAAGCTTCCCTTGGTTCGTTCTCCTGCTGCCATGTCTCCCAATTACCTAGGCCCCACCGAGTTCCCTTTTGTAACAGCTCTAGCCATTCTTGTGGTGTTGCTACCAGCAGGTCGTTGAGGTTCTCTAACAGCCTATTGCTTCCTTTCAATTCCGCAGTGCAATTATTAGAGGAGGCCCAGTGTAGTGTTCCATAGCTATGGTATCATTTTTTTTTTTAATTTTTTTTTTTTTTTTTTTTTTTTTAAAACAGAACCTCACGGTTCTGGCTCCTACCATTCTGGGGAGCGATAGTCCGTTTCCTATTCCCCTGGCAAGTCAATATGGATTACATAAAAGACTCACACACGCTCCTCCCCATTATGGCTGAGAGGCCCGAGTGGGCAGCATTGATTACTTCCCTGAGGAAGGATGTACCACCTCTCACCCCTGCCTAATCTAGCGTGTACTAACTCTGCCTGCCAATCTGTCTGATCCCAGATCTGCTCCTCTCAGCTAT